GAGTGGGGAAAAGATGAAGGGAAGTCCATGATTGTGGACCTGACACTTCTGAGGTTCTAACCATCAGCAGCATCACCATCCCTGGGCTGCCCTTTGTATAAGAAAAATTAACTCCTGGGACACAGGTTTCTGAATGTTCTCAGTTCATGGCATTCTTAGCATCTCATTAATTTTTTCATGGTGCCCCTAGGCCAAAAGGAACAACTAACACTACCCTTTATTAAGTAGTTAGGTGCCAACAACTTAATAGTATTTATGTACTAACAATCTATTAGCTGTTTGAAAAAAATAGTATACATAAATTAAGAATAAAGGTATTCTTATTTCATTCTTGAATAACCACTATTACTGATGGGAGTTGCATTCCAACCTGTGCTCTCTACTACTTCAGCTCTTGGAATTAGATTGGATGCTACCCCTTCAGCTCCCATTCCACAATGATTTTCATTCAGTACTTGCTTGTCTTTATCATTGTGATAAAATACACGTAACATAATATTTACCACATTAACCAATTTTTTTATTTTAAAGTTTATTTATTTATTGAAGTAATCTCTACCCTCTACATGGGGCTCGAACTCAGGACCCCGAGATCAAGAGTCACACACTCCAAATTTGCCAGCCAGCCAGGCGTCCTCTATCTTAACCATTTTTACTGTGTATATGAAGTACCTCCACACTGCTCGGCAACCGTCACCACCATGCATCCCCAGAACTATCCCGTCTTCCCAAACTGAAACTCCATTCCCATCCAACTTTAGCTTCCCATTCTCCCCTCCCTCAGTCTACAGCACCCACCATTTGACTTTTCACCTCTACAGCTTCACTCTTCTAGGAATGCTGCATAAGAGGAATCACACAATAGCTGTCCTTCTGTGCCTGGCATAGTTCACTGAGCACAATGTCTTCAAGGTCATCCATGTTGTAGCATGAGTCAGAATTTCCTTCCTTCTTAAGGCTGAATAATATTCAACAGTAGCTATAAAGACACATATTATTTACCCATTCATCTGCCTACACTTGGGCTGCTTCCACCTTTTGGCATACAGAGTACTAGCTTTTCCATCACAACCACTGCAAAGTGGAGCTTTGCAAAGATATGACATCACTAAAAGGATGGAGTGCAGTCTAATGTTGAAACTGTGAACCTCCTCAAGCTAGTGCTTTGCCTGGTGTCCAAAGGATACCATGTATCCTTCTGTTTCCTTCAAAATTAAGAATATCTCATGGTTCCCCCAGAGTTTGCTGTGGTTCTCCAATGCCCTTGGTATACTATTTGAGAATCATGCTCCAATGATGTGGAATCCACTGTTTTTTGAGTTTTCAGTTGAATAGAACTCAATCCTTAATTAAGTAACTTAAACACTACAATCAAATTTATATTTCTCATGAAGTTCCCACTGGAGATTTCTCCCATTTTTCAAGTCAGAAATTTTCTGTGTGGCAATCCTTAAATGACATATCTCTATACCCACTTCCACTGGATTCCTGAGAGATGGTATAATCACTCTCAAGGCTTAGAAAATGTATTTTCTTGGCCACCCTGTAAACTGTGCTTGCCCCAAAGCAATGGTACCCCACTGTGATAGTTGGTTTTATATGCCAACTTGAGTAGCTCGTGAGGTGTCCAGACATTTGGCCAAATATCATTCTGGGTGTTTCTGTGAGTGTTTTCAGAGGAGATTTACATTAAATCAGTAGACTGAGGAAAACAGACTGCTCTTCCTAATGTAGATAGGCCTCACCCAATGAATTGAAGGCCTGAATAGAATAAAAAGCTGACCTTCCACTAAGTAAGAAAGCATTCTTCCCTGACTGACTGCCTTCAAACTGGGATATCGGCTTTTTTTCTGCCTTTGGTCTCAAACTGAACCCTTGGTTCTACCTGGGTCTCAAACCTGCCATCCTTCAGAAAGGGGGGGGGGGGGGAATACCATTACCCCTCCTAGTTCCAGGCCTTCAGACTCAGACTAGAACTAAACCGGAAGCTCTCCTGGGCCTTTAGCTTGCTGACTCATCTTCCATATCTTGGAAACTCTCAGCCTCCATAATCTATTCAGATATAGGTACAGGTACAGGTATAGATTCCAGCATAGACATATTTCCTACTGGTTTTGTTTCTCTGGAGCCCTAACTAATACAGCCACAGAGTCACAGGTTCTTTGGTACCTGTCCCTCTGGGTCCTGACACGGCCAGTAATGCATGAGAAAACAATGACAAATCCAGGGAGAGATGTCAACCTCAAGTTTATCACATAATCCTATCACATGATCCCCAAGTTTAAAACACCTCCACAGCTCACCAGTGTGCTCAAGATAGATCCCAACTCCTCAGCATCTCATCTGTAACCTTTATCTGGCCTCTGCTTAGTCCTCTCCAGTCTGGTCTCTTACCACAGTCCCTATACCCTCAATGTGGAATCAGGCAGAAGTTCATGAAACACACATGATGTCTCCCCTCCAGGTTTTTTTTTTAAGATTTTATTTATTTATTTGGCAGAGACAGAGAGAAATAAAGAGAGCACAAGAAGGGGGAGCAGCAGAGGGAGAGGGAGAAGCAGGCTCTCTGCCAAGCAGGGAGCCCGATGTAGGACTCGATTCCAGGACCTTGAGATCATGATCTGAGCCAAAGGTAGATATATAACTGGCTGAGCCACCCAGGCTGGTTTTGAGGGTGATTCTCCCTCTATCCAGAATAAACTCCATACAACCCCCTCACACACACACACACACACTCACATGCACATATTCTTCCACAAGACATACAATTTGCATGCTTGTAAGGCTAGCTCCTCATCTCTCAGGTGTCTGCCTAGATAGCCTACTCTCCTCCCAGATCCACTTATCAAGCAGGGGCTGGAACCCTCCAAATGTTGCCCTAGTGCCATCAGTGTATCCCTACCAGAGCCCTAACTGTGCTATATCTTAACTGCCCACTTATTTGTTGAATTTTCCTAACTCCTTGAGGGCCAGGACTATGTTTTATTAGCTACTGTATCCCCAGAACAGTGGCTTACCTATAATACATGCTCAATAATTATCTGATCAGTAAATGATTGGATGAAGTTCAGAGGGTCCTAGATCACCATTCTCAACCTGTTGTTGGCTTAATTTAGGAACTGTCAACCAAGACCTGAAAGAGACACATTCAGCCACTGTTGGCACCATCCAGAGTGGTATCCAAGCTACAAGGCCAGAAGAGATAAAAATACAGTTACCCTCAACCCCTAATCCATGCTCATGCGTGGCCCGACCATGCAGATCCAGAACAGGCACTGTGAGCTCAGAAGCTGAGCAAGGAGGCAGAAAGTTGAGAAGAGGAGAATCAGGGGACAGCACTGATTTTTACAAGAGTTCCAAGATATATTAACCCTCAGAGTTCACTATCCCTGACTTACTGGAAGCATAATTTTTTTAAACTATGTATATAATTATACCCACTTCTGGTCACCATCAAAGTAACATCCCCAAACTCCTTACCAATGGCAATGCTGAAGTTATTTGTTCTTTCTAGACGTTAGTTCCCTTGCCCCTTAAGCAGCAGTAGCATACAACCCAGGGCTGTTTTGAGGAATAACTGAGATTCTGTGTTGGAAGCACCCAATACAGTGCCTGATACAGGCTTATTTATGACATAATAAATAGAAGCTGTTAGTACTATCAGCATTAATATTGTCAGCCAAGATTCAAAAACTGGGCCTCCACACCTAAAAATGCAAACACATGAGCCTGACATCAAGGAACGTAGCTCACCATGCTATGACGCAGCAACCTGACAAGGATCGAATGATTTTGGATGCACCCCCAGGGAAAGTTTTTCCTATGCTTGTTCTAAATATCAATAGGTGTGAGAAATAAAACAATCTAAAGTCAAACCTAAACCAAAATAAGAAAAAAGCTACGTACATATTTAGGGTTTTTTCTTAACCTGTCCATTTATACCATACAGAGGAATACAAAGACACTAAAACAACTTTTTGGTTACTCATCTACTACAAATGAGTATTCACCTGAACTGGGTGAGTTATGAGTTAACTGGGTGAATGACTATTCCAGCTGCTGGCAACTTTATTTGGTAGTGTACCGACCTAATACAAACAACTAAAACCAAATGCTAAAAATACCTACCGGTATATGTAATTGTGCTATTTTATGTAACCAAGCTATATTTCACAAGAGATATATATTCTTTCTTTTTTTCTAGCCCAAATACACATTTCATGTGCAACATCACTCATTACGTCAACATCAGTTCCTATAGAGAGAGTATGTCATTCGAATAATTTGTTATTCTCCAACAATTCCGTAATTTAACAATTCCGTAATTTAAAATACATGTTATTCAAACATTACTGAACTAAAAGCACGTTCTCTCTGCACTTCAAATTAACCAAGTTTTCTAGTTCTTCACAAGCCCCAAAATACATCGTTTCATTATTCTCTTCTGGCTTCCTTCCCTCTTGTCACCAGCTAAACTACAAAACTTATATGAGTCTTGCTCTTGGAATAATTTTTTATCATTTCTATGTATGAATTCCTCACTCTATTGGCTGTTAAACCTTCCCCCTTCTTATCCTTTTCCTTCCAAACTTTCCTTCTAGCACCCAACCCACATCATGATGGCTCTGGCCGCCCCTCTGCTCTGTGGCCCAGGGAATCCAGTCCCTTTGTGCATCCCGAGGTTAGGGGCTTGCTAAACTGGCTCCTGCCCTCCACCACCACCACCCACCCTCACTCCCTATGTCTGATCTTTCTGTCTCACCTTTCGCTCTGCTCCACAGCCCCATGAGGTACCACATTTACCCCTGTGGTCTCCTTACCCTCACACAAGTACACATCCATCCCAGTACCAAGAAAGCTGCATATCATTAAGAGACTATTAGCTTTGACCCTTATATTCAATCATGTGTTTTTCCATAAGATTTGCTGGCAGAGAAGGATTTGGAGAGGAGAAGAAAAATCGTTTCCACTTTTAAAAGATCCCAGAAAGACAATCCTACCTTTCCCAAGATTTGGAGGAAAAGGATTTCCAAACTCCTGCTGCTTTGGCTTTAAAGTGTGTGGCCCTGACATGCCTCCAGCCTGGGTGACCTGGTATCGTGGCTTCCCATTGGTGAGCACTTGTCTCCTGGGGCTCAAGGCGGGCAGATGGAGGGGGCTCTCGGCCATGTTGCTCTGAGGAGCCATCCCTCCTCCCGAGGGCATCTTGAGATGGAGGCTGTTACCAAGGCTTCCGATGGCAGGGCTTGCTGTGCTGCCACAGGACGCGGGGCCAGGAGTCCCAGAGTGGGCTCGGATGGGAGGAATGTGTTGGCCACTGACCATCCCAGGCCCCTGTGGGGTTCCTGATGTCCGGTGGAGACTCATGCTGCATGACCTTCCATTCATTCTGAAAAAACCTGTGGCCAGGATGGTCAAATATCCAATGGCACTAATGACTCCTTTCAGGCAAAGTCCAATAAGTTATCCATGGTGTGGGTTATTAGCCTGTTTAAAAAAATAAATACAGGCATTTTTAAAAGTAAAAATGAAACTAAGTCACAGTGAGTTTTCAACCTGTGTAGCATTCATATCAGGAAGAAAAGAAGCACTCTTAGCAAAACGGCTTTTATGTAAAGCAGGGTCATCAAATACATGGTTCATTGGCAGGCACTCTCCCCTCCTGCATTCATGGTAGACATGGATTATGGATCACTGTATTGTTTTATTTGCCACTGAGCCCTTCTCAATACAGTGCTCTTGGCAACTACAACCAATCAACTGGTGCCAGCTTGCAAAATGAAACCTATTTGGCTCCCTAGAATATCTGTCCATACTAGTTCACTTTTGCTACAGTGAGTCTTGGGAAATCCAAAGCATCACCTTTGCAAGCTGTGAGACCAATGCTCCAAAGTTTCCAGTAAACAAGCAAAAGGCAGATATGGCCTCTAAATGAAATTATGGGGATATTAAAGCACTCTCTGATTTTTACTGTAAGAGCAAAATTTTCACAGTCCCTAGACTCACGTAAGATAAAAATAGGGGCTTGGGATTCTCACAAAGACATCACATAACCACATATCCAAATACAGCAGCATCAGAGTCTTGGTTCCATAATGATTCTGAGTTATGGGGATGGAAAAAGAATCAACACCACAATACTCTCACCTTCTATTAAGATCCTAGAAAAGGAAAAGTCTCTGCAAACACTTCATGGAAAGCATAATGAAAGAAGGAGGCAATTATGTTCACCATACACACCACACATAGTAAATCAACCATAGTTCCACAAACATGGTTCCATCTGCCACCCCACCGCCACCTTCCTCAAGTGACAAAGAAAGAACCAATAGCACTGGTATGACCACAGGACACCATTATCCATCTGTATATCATAACGTCAGTACTCTCTGGCTACAAATATTTAGGAAAGGCCCTTCTCTTCCTTAACTAAAAGCTCATAAAATGTATATAGAGTCAAGGAGGTGACTAAGTGCCACTATTCCAAATGAATGACAAACATAGTCACAATCTGTATTCTTTTACACAGATATGATTGTCATGCAAAGAAGCCAAAGCTGAACAAATATAGGAGATATGGCTGAGTACACAGTGGTAGTAGTCAGATATTCTCTACTGGATGATTCCTACGTTTTCTCTAGGATCCACTCAATGTCTTAGACAAATATTTCCAACCAAGTCTCAAATAAATGGCTCCATCAGCCATCAGGGACAGAATATTGGAGGGAAAACTCTCTGTGAAAAAGTTTTTTTTTTCATTTATCCTTTTAGAAAATCAAAAGATTTGATTTTCAAGTCAAGCACTCACTGTGCCCTCTGCAAAGTTTAGTGTGTGCCCAAATGTTGAGAAACTTCAAAAATTATTAACAATACAACATTTGGAATGTTTCCCTCGCCTTTACCAATTTTCTACTTTATTAAGAATTCTATCAGTCCAGCATATTTCATATGGCCACACCATTCAATCCTGAGAAACATTCTGAGCCCCTGCTCCTGCCCTTCCTTCCATTACAGTCCCCATGAATGGACAAGGAAAGCCAGCCTACCCAAACTTTATCACTTTAAGTTGTTTCATGGAACAATAAGAAATAAACCCCAGTACTAAATGGGTTGTAAGATTTTGGTTTTTTACATTGGGAAAAATCCCAATGCCTTTCCAGCTGTGTCCATTTAAGAACTCCAGTGAATTATCATCTGGTCTGTTGAGTCGTGGGTTGACTGTGACCAAGAATCATTTCATATCTCTGTGCTTCGCCAGAGGATGTTAGCCATCTATTCTTCACTCATTCATAAAATATTGTTTTCTGACTACTCTTAACCCTGCAAAAGAGAGCACTTATTCAGAACCAACCAAAAGAAGTAAGTATATATGTTGTACTGGCAATTTGTTGAAAATGAGGAATCATCCAACATGACTGGCATTATGAGCCATCATGAGTCCATCTGACAAGCGTCTGTAGATTTACAGACTATGCCCCACTTCCAGTTTTTAAAAACAAAGGAGTCATTTTTGGCAGCAAGATCAATACAAGCAGGAATTCTCATCAAAAATCTGGATAAAAACACATAAGTAGGTACTTAGCATTAGGTTAGATCATTAAGAAGGTTTGTGAGAAAAATAATGTGCTGAGAAGCTAATTAAGTATCAGATATTCATACCTGCCTGTCAAGCTGGACTTTTATTTTATTTTTAAACTGAACTCCTGTTTTAAATACCTTTAGATTGAAAGTAACAACAACAACAAAAATGCACTTAAATTTTATTACTAAAAAAACAACAGCCAGAAAGCAAAGTGATGAATGCCATAAAGAAACACCAGTAAGGTGATGGCATACAAGCTAGGAGAACCAACCTCAAGACAAAATAATATAAACTCTGTGTGAAAATATGCTTAATAACCCAGTTTGCACATTAATCATGCCAATGGATTTTTCAAGCATTAGAGACAAGAATTTAAAAATCAATTTTATCTACTGGTATTAAAGTACTTTATATACTTTTTAGCAAGGCCATATGATCATTTATAATCCTAAATCCCTGCGTTAACAAAAAAGCAATAAACTGCTAACTTTTAAGAAAGATACATCCTTATTTAATCAGAGTAAAAACAGCACTCAACTAGAAGTCAGGACACCTAAATTCTACCTCTGGCAAATCATTTATAACTTCTCTGGCTTACAGTTTCCATCTATAAAATCTATAAAACAGCTGATGATAATCAGTACCATCTCTTGAAATTCTAACTTCCAGATAATTAAGATAAGGAAGATTATCAAAGATACCCACTTAAGGGGATCCCTGGGTGGCGCTGCGGTTTGGCGCCTGCCTTTGGCCCAGGGCGCGATCCTGGAGACCCGGGATCGAGTCCCACGTCGGGCTCCCGGTGCATGGAGCCTGCTTCTCCCTCTGCCTGTGTCTCTGCCTCTCTCTCTCTATCTGTGTGACTATCATAAATTAAAAAAAAATTTTTAAAAAAAAAGACACCCACTTAAGATGATCAAAGATAAATATGTAGATTTTATACCTATGACACTTAAGTCAAGAGGACAGGGTAGACATGAAAGCAAAAATAGTAACCTTCATCCACTCCATCAAAGCAAGAGCAGACAGGAGGTTCTCACATTAGCAGTGTGCTAAAAGACAACACTTACCTTGAAAAATGGATAACAGGACTAAATTTGCCTACACTTGGGCAGCCCTGGTGGTGCAGCGGTTTAGTGCCGCCTGCAGCCCAGGGCGTGATCTGGAGACCCTGGATCGAGGCCCATGTCAGGCTCTCTGCATGGAGCCTGCTTCTCCCTCGGCCTGTGTCTCTGCCTCTCTCTCTCATTCTCTTTGCATCTCTATGAATAAATAAATAAAATCTTTTAAAAAATAAATAAATAAATTTGCCTACACTTTGCCAAAAAGTAAAATCACAACTAATTAATATCAAAACCTAACTGGTAGATTTCCATTGGCAGAGCATCCTTCTATTTAAAAATCTATTCAAGGGGCACCTGGGTAGGTTGGTTCAGCACCCGACTCTTGATTTCTGTTCAGGTCATGATCTTAGGGTCATGAGATCAAGTCCCACATTGTGCTTCTCATTCTGTGGGGTATGCTTTAGATCCTCCTTCTCCCTCTGCCCCCTCCCCCTCTCCACTCGCACACTCTCTCTTTTATAAAAAGTATTCAAGTTCTCCAGAATTACTTTCTCCTCCACCCTCCACTCACTGCCTACCCCAAGCTATCAACAGAAAAGAAGAAGAAGAAGAAGAAGAAGAAGAAGAAGAAGAAGAAGAAGAAGAAGAAAAGAAGAAAGAAGAAGAAGAAGAAAAGAAGAAAGAAGAAGAAGAAGAAGAAGAAGAAGAAGAAGAAGGAAGAAGAAGAAGAAGGAAGAAGAAGAAGAAGAAGAAGAAGAAGAAGAAGAAGAAGAAGAAGAAGAAAGAAAGAAAGAAAGAAAGAAAGAAAGAAAGAAAGAAAGAAAGAAAGAAAGAAAGGAAGAAAGAAAGAAAGAGACATCTGGAAATACAAATTTAGGGTACTTTGGATCTGACATATTGATACATTTAGAGTTTTAACGCTCTGTCCATTCAAACAATGAAAATGTTCATTCTGTCAAATGAGTCAACATGAGTTAATAAATTTTTCCAATGACCACTTTCAAACTCTTAAAACACACTCCTCTAAGTCAGGTCAGAAAGGAAATTACTTAACTTCTAAGGAAACTAAGGCACAAAACCATTTAATAATTTCACTGGTTTTCTGGAAAAGCTATGACTTTGATCAAAACACAAAATCATGACACTACCTTCTACCCAAGGCTCCAGGCACTGTGTCTCATAGATTAAAAGATCCAACAAGTGAAAAGCAACGTTAACTCATCCATTCAAGGAAATTCCAAAAACACGAGTCCATAATGCCTCTTTTAGAGCCAAAAGCCCTTTCCTAGTAAATATCATTAATAAACTTATCTAGAGTCATAATTCATCTGATGAGCCAGTTAATTATTAATTTTCATACATCATTTCATTTCCTTAGGCTACATTTAGCCTTTGTTACATTTTCCATTCCTTATGCCACAAGTGTTTCTTACTCTGCATAAAAAACCTGATAATGAGACACAAAATACTGGTCAGCAAACAAAATGCTCCTGGACTGCTTCTTTTATATATATCTAAGCCATCTAAAATAGGGTTTTTATCGATTTTTTTTATTTTTTTCCCCTTCGGGTTAATGATTGTGTAATTTCATTAACTGCTTTTTCAACATCGCTGCCTTGATCATTAATAGGCCCAAGCTATTCCCCTGCGCTTCTCTGGTTACAGCTTTTGTAGCCAGAAGAATATAGAAATGAAAAGCCTATTGACAAATAATATATTTGTCATGCGCGGCTGCAGTGTGAAGCACATTTTGCAATTCAATCAAGGACAGATAGAGCTGAATGTTCTTAGATCCCAGGAGTTCATTTTAATAAGCAGAATGTACCTTGTCCTAACACAGG